TATATGCAATCGAGTGAAGTTCCCACCTACCTATAGTTCCAACGTTGCGTAATTTCTTCACTCGGCCTGCTGCACACGATCCATAAACAGACTATTTTTCCATCTATAGGCTGTTGGTGGCACTTCTACTTTCCTTCCCAAAATCACCAGCGAAAAAGAACACGAGAAATTCAGTTGACCTACGAGGCGGCATGATGATCAAGGCAGGTTCAGTATGAAGTGACATCAAAGGTATTAGTAAAGGGCAACTGTCAGCCTGACCCCTATTTACGTTTGCGCGGACATTGAAGATTAAAACGGTGGATCGTCCAGTGTCACGCTATCTGTCCAAGAGTTAGGTCCGAATGCAAAGTATCCTGGAAATTCATCGAATGCACACAGGACGTGCCATCTGCAGGCATGGACGTATACACATCCTGAATAATTCTCCATAGTGACCTTTAGTGACATATCTCTACTTGTTTGTCATGCATGGAATGTCCACTGATGTCCGCAAAAGCACTGAGGGTAAACTTGAACAGTACTAGGACAAAGTGAAGTATTTTCGCCTACTCACTGACGGAACTGCATTGTCTCTTGTTCGGTACCAAGTCCGTTATTGAATATGATGACTATTCTATGGATTATTCTATGCACTTACCCGAGGCATTTGATGGCAACGGTATTCTGACTCGGAAAGTACGATTAATGTGAGATTCAATGGTATAACATCGGTGGCACATTAAAAACTCGTTCAGTCACTCTTTAAACTGAATGTATTTGGTGAATTTTCCAAAATTGGAACCGGCTCAACCCGTCTGCCTAATTTTTCAAATAACTGATCATTCTGATGAGCATAAATGTTCCCTTATGCAATAACAAAAGTCCAGGTATGCCTGCGAGCGATCGGTTCAGAGTAGGAACAGCTACTATTATCATGCGGTTGGTACTTCCAGTTGAATGTTTGCAGAACTCGCAGAATCCTCTGACCCAGCTCAATTCGGAGGCAATCTTTTCGCTGTTGTGAGTTCGGTTGAGAAACGTCGTCAGCTGACAGTTCATTTTGGTGCTTGTTTCAGTCACTTTTTATCGCTAGTTGTGTATGCCACTGAAATGCAGTAAGTGCTGTCACTTCTTTCACGTCAGCTTTCGTTGTCAGCAAATTGGAACTGTACCTGTGGATTTGTGTATCCTAGTTTGAGAGAGGTGTATCTTGAAAAACATGTTTGGTCGAAATAAACAGAGGTCAACTGGGGCATGTGTCCGCTAACTCTCAGTGGATTTCGTGCGGGAAGGATTTCATGGCCCTAGGGATCTTTCTTACAGCTGAATTTCGTCTACCTCATTGTTTTGGTTGTAATGACAAAGTGGAATTTGATGAAGACTGGTAAGTCAGACAGTCAAAGCAAACTGTGTTGTCCAATGTCATCGCGGCTGTTCATTCAGGTCGCCTCCAACAGTGATAATGACGTAGATAGCCTAGGAGAGTTTAAAATTATTCCTCAACAACCGACTATGACGACAGTTGAGGAACTCTTGTTGAGAGAACCAGTGTCCTCAAGTTCATGGATGTCTCTTCTTCAAGTGCTATCCTAATAGCTATCATCCTTTCGGAGCCTACTTCATAAGATGAAGCGCAAAGGTAAAATAATTGAATTTACTAATTCTTCAGGTAATTAGGCAGGCGCTCACTTTTGAGGAGTTTTCAACGAATGATATCCAGATGACGTAACGTATGAAATAGTTACATTTTTCTTGGAATTTTGATAACTTCAATAAATTTTCGAAGCGTCTTACCATTAATTATCCCTGCTGTGAAGCACGAGGGTTGTGCTTAGCGTTCGGTCGTATTATTCTCGTCACCGCGAAAAGTTCCAGCTGCGCCAGCAGTTACTCCATGAGCTTCGCCGTTTAACAGTTGTTCATTACTATCAGACCGATGTTTTCATTTTGCGACCCAGCCCTTGGGGTCTTTGAAATGTGTGTGCATCCAACTTTGCATTTTAATTCCAATGCAGAGGTGTGCTGGTGTGTAGAAGTTCTCCGTATCTGAATTTCTACATTTGCTCTCACGCAGTATCACGATCTTTGTATCCCAGCGGGCTGCGCTTTTCATCAGCTGCCTGAGATCATTCTTCCTAGTCAGTACATAGATATGAAATTTCAGGAATTCAAACTCTTGCAGCTGTTCGCACTGAAGGATCGCTTGTCTTTATTCGAATGGCTTTTAGTTCGCCTCCCAAAGAGAGGATAGATTTGAATTTTATTGCTCACAATCATCCGCTAGCCTGGTGACTGATGGAGTCTAGAATGGCGTTGATTCTTGCTGTCACCGCGGTTACTGTTCGCTACTTCAGCGAATGAACGCTTGTCGACCGGCTTTATTGCGTTGCTGATTTTCTAATGAACAAACTATGAAAACCCATGGCGGTTGGATTGTTCAGCCCAGCAAACTAACTAACGACCATCTAGGCTACCTAAGCTACAGACATTCTTCCCATTTGCGAAGCTGTTCATCTTATTCGCTATATGGTACCAAATGGGGTGATTTTTGTAGAGAGGCATGGTTGCAACTACGTTCGCCTCAGAATACATTTGCATCTTTTCGTTCGCGTGTTGTTCTACAGGATCATAGTAGGATTAAACGAAATCTATCCCCATATAGTCACAATGACGGCGTTGTGATTTTTCCCTCATCCAGAAACAGAGAAGGAATAGCACGATAGACAGCCTATGCAATTGGATATAACATCTGTCCAATAGATGCGTTCACACTGATATTACGATAATACTTACACTATCCATACTAGTGTATCGATTACTTTGGCTCTGTATGCATAGTTTCCCACCTCTATCGCACTCTTCATTTTACTGTCACTTCCCAGATCCCTGTCGTGCATTTCCCAAATCTGGTTCACTTCATCACGCAAACTACACAGCTTTGCTGAGTAGGAACAATGCATGTGTTATTTCCATTATTTTTCTGTTCTACCCTTGTATGGAAGCATCCTTTCTGTAGTTTTGACTACAAGCTGTGAGTAAGTGTGCTTGCAGATACAGTATTTGTGGCCGAAAATGTGACTGTGACAAACAACGAGTCTACCGGTGCGACTGCGGGGCTGCAGTTTGACAAGCGCGTGAAAGGCCTGCGAGTTGAATAAAGACTGATATTCGTAACTATTATCACAGTCCCACACCTGACATGAAGACAGGGCTCATTCAAATAGCAAGGGAAATGTGTTTGCCTATCAACGTCATCTGTCTTTTTCATTTTGATACTGTGTGCTGTCATCTCTTTGTATACAAAACTCTTGCCTATTTCAGAAATTCAACCAGGACTTATGGAGTTCGTTGTTTTAAAGTGGTAGAATTGCCATCAATGTTGTTCATCTCATATCTTTTGGGAAAAGGAGTGTAGTTGTCTTTTCTTGCGTAGGTTTTACCCATTTCTCGGTTTCTAATCAATGCAACGGAATTAACTGAAACCAACTTTGTTCCACGTGAAGCTTGTGAAACCCATATCCTCTATTTTTGCGATGTTTAAAAAGCAGCATGATTCATCGCTCACCCAATCACACTACTCATTTTTTGGCAGGTCGGAAGCCTTTGAAACACTCGCCGCTGTTGATAGGCTTCGCGTCGTCAGTTACAATTTATTAGCTGACTTGTATTTATCTACTGAAGCGGCACGAGATATCATTTTTCGTCACTGCCCACTGGAATATCTGGACCAGAAGTATCGACTCCCACTGATTCTACGCGAGGTTCTCTCGTACCATGCGGATCTGATTTGCTTGCAGGAGGTAGACGGTCCTGTGTTTTCCAGGTATTTTAAGCCAGCCCTGGACTATGCCGCAGGAATGAATGGAATCTATTTATCTAAACGAGCACTCACTCAAGTCGAGAACGATCCTTCTCGAACGACTGTGTCGTTGGATGTGGAAAAAGTAGGTTCGTTTTTATAACAACATATGAAATACTCCGTTTCCAAGAGCCTTTGTTCAGTATCCTTCTGTTTCGAAGCGGCCACTGGATACACAACTGTGTATATAAACTAGAGGTTCGGTCAGTTCCACAAAAAGGTCATCTGTATTGGAACCAATCAAGCAAGCGTAAGGGGAACACACACAGCATGTTGTTTTCTATGGGCCACATCTCTGCCAATCAGTTTGTAGAGCTAAATGGTTCGAATTTAGGCGTGATGTTTTCCATAACCAGCTGTCACCGTTTGAGCCGTCGGGCAAACCAATCACATCGCTCAAATGTTAACACGGCTGCCTGTTCGGAGGTGATGATTCAGGCGCATTCAGTACGCACTGGTGATAACACACTCGCCTCGAACGTCAGACCTGATAATTACCAAGCTATGGGCTTATAATCACACCTAACCATTTGTCCATTGGCAAGCCGTTGTCGAGAGTTGTGTTTGACGATCTACGCCAACTTTTCCCCGGCTAGGCAATTGAACCGGCGAATATATGGTGTTTGTTAGATAGTCGTATAATTCCTCACGTTTCTTGATACATACAGTTCCCCAGTAGGTTCTGGAGTTTATAGAACGTTCTAACGGACTGCATACCTACAGTCATCTTTGACCAAGTACTTTTTAGATCTACTGGACAAAGTTCGTCATATGCTGCCCATCAGTAGTTTTCGTTGTATATAAGGGGTTCTTTTCTCTATTGTTGCTCTTCAATAATTTTGTTTTGTCTATGTTCCTTTCTAGGGTGAAGGATGCGCTATATTTTACAACAGATCGCGATTAGAACTGATTCGTGATGCTCACATTCCATCTCTGATGACATACGCAGAAAATGAACCTATGTTGAGTGAACTGGTTCAAAGAATCTCAGAGGATGTAACCACTAAACATGTACCTGAAGTGTTTTCAAGAGACTTCGAAACAAGTCGCGTGAAGTCCTATACCCATGGCTTGGTGACTGCGTTATTCCGTTTGAAACCGGTTTCATCCTTTGCGGTCAACAAGGAATCACCTGTTGACCGCCTGCTGGTTGTCGGTAATACGCACTTCTACTTTCATCCAGTTGCTGACCGCTTCCGCTATGTACAGGCACGCGTCGTCCGACACCATTTAAACAAGATGGCAGTAGCTGCGTCAGCGGAATTCGGGTAAGTCAATTTAGTTTACTTCACCGTTCTTGACGTGCCTATGTAATCTGTTTATCCTGTTTCATTTACCACGAAAACCCCATTCCTTCTATGCTGTCCTGTCACCAGCATCTGTAGACAGAATGGATGAATGCGTGTAGTGAATATAGCACAGGAAATCTTCCTGTCGGCTGATTTATCATGTTGGTTGATTGAGAGTGGGAAGAGAGTAGGAAGGGTCAAACTTTACAGATTATTACGGTCGACAAAATCCATTAATCGAAATTAGGACGGGTGTTTTGTAGCGTAAACTAGAGGAAACAATAAAAAGACACAAGATAATAACGTAAGTCTGATGTTCATTGTAATGGTATCCTTGTCCTTCGCTTTCTGCATTCCCATGACCCAGCCTGACTGCGACGTAATGCGTTTGACTCAGCGACCCAGTGATTTATGCGCCCCCTCCTTCATGCTGTGCATTTATCCGTAGATCCACTGAATCATACGCACGTTTTCTGACTGGTGTCTCATGAATTTGTGATATGTAGACCAGTCACAGAAGACAAGCTTCATTCGCTATGCCAGTTTTTGTCGTCACTTGTGGGGATATCTTCAGTGGACGGAAAATTTCACGGAGTAGGAACGCCTTATTTCGACCACTCGATAGTGGCATAAACAACTCCTTTGAATGCTAGCTCAGGATACTTTTATCCGTGTCATTTGATCTGGCCCACTCAAACTATCTACAGCAATAAGCCGTCAATATTCTGTCGGATTCCGTAAAACCGCTTATGGTGGTGCTTGCCTACGAAGATAAGCTGTTGACATCACATTTATTTCGACTAAATCGGTTTAATGCTGTGTGGCTGATTGAGTAGGCTTCAATGACAGGTTCAAGGGCTTCAGTTCAGACGCATAAAGGGGATCTGTTGCGGTTGATTTGGCGAATGAAGCAAAGCAATTTATGTCGATCGAAGAGGTTATCACTACTGTGGTTGACGAATTTGACAGTTAAATGCCAAGTGATTGGTTCACCAAATTCATTGTAGACGTGTAAAAATGAGAGTGAATTCACCGTGCGTTTTTTTCCTTAAATCTAAGGTCTCGGCGTTTTGTTTCTTGTGAGAGCTACCTTATACACGGAACACCTTCGACTGAGTTTTGTTTTAAAAAGTGTTTGCCTAATGTCCTCATTCATTGAAAACTTGTTTTTTGTTGAAATTCGTTAGAGAGAGGGCGTCGTCGTATGCCGATCTCGTCGTAATACCCACCCCGGTTTCCAACAGTCTTCCCCCGATATGTTCGTGTCGGTGAATGGATTTGTCGCGTGAAATTCACAAACAAACATGTGCTTAGTTCTTCCTGATGGCAACAAGTTGGATTTACCAGCTTCGTCTTTCTTACCTTACCTTAGAACCTTTATCTAAGGAAGCAAAATCCATGGTCCTTTCATTTTCAGGAATGGATGCTACTTCGGCTTAGCTGACCTGTATTTTCCTATCCACTGGCTAGACGACAGTAGACGAATCCGTCTTTGCGAATGCTTACCTACCATGGCACCTGTTTTTTTCATCCCATGGAATAGGACCAGGTGACTCTTTACTGCTTGAGCGAATTGACAAGTTAGGATTGTTAGATGGACACCTGCGCAACTTGCAGGCTCTTTGTATCCACTCTGTTCTGTGTTAATTTGCTTGATTTCTGGTTGTTATGGATGATGGCTGTAGTATGACGGTTGCGTTTACCCGTCGATGAGTTGATATTCTACAATGGATGGGAATATGCGATCCCTTAGCTCTTTGGTGTAAGCCGTCAAGAACCCTTCAAATCTTGCTGAATGAAGCGCTGGCCACAAATAACCTCATGAAGGCTCAGTACTCAGCGGAAGTTGTTTTATCCAAGAAGTGGCTTGTTATTTTATCCGCAAGCAATCCTGTCTGGAGTGTGAAAAGGGCATTGGGGCATTGAAGGGACTGCTCTCAAGAACGTGCTGATGAATCAGATGAGAACTTCAAATATCCAAAATTTATAGCGAATGGGAGCTGGTTGTTTAAACTCCGTGAAACATGGGAAATTAGATGGAACCGAAACTTGAATTGCTGAGGGCTGACTGTCGGACATACACCTTGTTCCATTCATTACAATAGGTGTGGATGTATTAAACAATGCGACTTTGGTACACTGAGTATAGTCACATTATGGCGAAACAGATGGCGGAAGTTCGGAGGTTAATGAACTAGCTGTCAGGAGTAACTGGGCATCTTATGTAATCACACCGACGAAAGCACTTGGAAGAAGACATTGCATAGTACGTCTTACGATCTATTTTAGAAACCGTTGGTTCTCCGAATTGGACATCAACATTGGCCCACCACTCCGTTTCACACACAATTGCACCACAGAGTGCACAATGCCTATATTTAGACGCTACGTTTCCTCACTAAGACAGACACGCAACGATCATGGCCTTTTCAACTGAGGTCACGGGGTAAACGCTGCTGAGTCATTTGATGAATCGATTCCCGCTCACTCAATCCAAGCGCAGTTACGGCAATTGCGATTCGACCACATCAACCACTCTTAACCTTGTGCAAACGTCGATTGAATGTTGCGACCTTATTATAGCTAAGCTGCGCTCCTTGCATTTATGAATCTTCAATGATTTGGCTTGCATTTTTCCCCGTGCTCAGTTTCTCGATTCGTAGCTGACTCGAGTGATTCGTTATCAAGGCGAATTCCCCGCAACATCGTTGGTTTTATGTGGCGAAATAGATTACTTTCGTGAGGGTGCATTTTAAACAAAACTATCGTTTTAGACACGCTTCGCTCCCTTTTTCACCTCAATGTTGTTGAGCGAATAAAGGACACAAAACACGTATTGTTGGTGAGTAGTAACTTGCTTCCTATCTTGAAAAGATAAAATCGGTCATCCCAAGGCCTTCGTTGCAAGAACAGTATTCGCTAACAGACGACCAACTGTATACCGAAGCATATGGGAAAAAATGCACACGTACCAGATTCCGAACTACCTCAACAACCATCCAAACTGGCGCAAACGAAGTTGTTTTCAAATTCTATTCAAATGGATCGAGAGGCACTGCAGCAAAACAGAGTCGAGGACTAAGGAAGAATAAAATCTTCATCAGATATTTCAAAAATTATAGCTACCTGTGGTACTTCATTTGGAAGTCCTTACGAAATCGAAGCCACGCTACCTTGTCAAAAACACCGCTGAAATGACTGCGAGATATTTACGACAACATAGAATAAGGGTTACCTTCAAATCCTTAAACAAGTTGAGAGGAGTCTTCTCAAAAGCAGAGCGATGACTGGATAGAATGAAGAAGACGAACGTGGTCTACAAACTTCAATCTAACGACACTATGTTTGCCGGACTGCCACCAGAATACATGAACACAGGCTTGCCAATAGAAAACATGACCCAGTGTCACTTGTTTCAATCCATGAAGACAGATAAAGACATCAGTCTAATTCGAATAATGTTCGAAAACTTGCTCGCACAGGGGTAGAACGGGTGCGGGAGCTTACCGAGGCGTGGTACTTCACCAACTCCTGGTTGGCCAATCAAATTACGCAAAAGACACCTTGCGACCAACCAATCACGTCAAGCATCAGATACAAATTAGAAACTATCTAAGCACGGGCAGAATAGAACTGACGACTGTTTACGAAACATTTACAGTCCATCTGCCAAGCCCAACAAAACTATCAACGACCATCGCCCTCCATTGTTTTTATTTTATCCAACCATGTCACTTAGTCATCACTAGCTGCGTATTTCATGCGAGGCGCAAAACAGTGCTGATACAGAAATCCAACCCTTTTCAGTTTCGTTTCTCCTTTTTATACTCCTGAAAATCTGATGATATATCAGACCTTGTTGTCTCTACGGGCTTCGGAAGGATTTCACAAATGACCAATGTGATTTGATTTGTATATGTTCTTAGAATTGACATTCATACAGGAATGCAAATTTGCGGCACCTTATTCGGGAATCCGTCGTGTGTTCCTCATAAAAAACGTCTGAATAACGAGCTGCTTCAGTCGTATTTGCCTTGTGCATAAAACGAGATTGCTAGAGGAAACGCACCTTGTCTTTTGACTGTGGTATTCAACCGAGAACTAATGTCAATCAAACACTGGAGGGTCTCCAAAACCGTTGTGTTCAAATAGCCGTTAACGAAGAGATTGTCGATCTGGAATATACGGATGAAATTGTTCTCGTCTTCGATGACTGGGAGGCTCAGACGAAGTGACCACAGTCATCCAGTCTTTTAGTATGCTGTTTACACCCACGAAATGTAAGGTCATGCTTCTGGACGTGTGATCACTTAATACGCCACTTGCGATCCAAAGAGACTCGAGGTTGTGGAGCGTTTTACGTATCTTGGACGTTGTGTTGGTTCCAGCTGCAGTATGGCAGATGATACACGAATCTCGGGTAATGTTTGCTAATTTGATGTCAAAGCGACATATCCCTAAATCTAGAAGGGCATGTGTATCAGGTTACAGTTTACGGCTGTGAGGCGTGGTTTATATGAGCAGCCGAACTGTGACGTGGTCAGGACATCCGTTGTTTCAGAATCATAGCTGGTGCTGGCAGACCATTAACGAGGAAATTAGAAAAAATGTTCGGTTGTGCAGCGGGATTGCCGTCGAAGAATGTGTCCAGCACCAAAAGCGTCAGTGGCTGACCCATGTAATACGCATACCGAAGGATCATTTGCCCAAGAGAGTGCTGTTTTCCGTACCCATTTTAAGGGTCGAAAGCATAGTGGTGGTCAACCTTTGACCTAGCAAGGAGGTATGAAAGAGATAACAAAACATCTGGGTGCTGTCACTGCGTCTCGCTTTTTAGGATGGGGACTGCGTGATATGGATTGCCTAAATCAGTGTCTGAATGTGTAGGCACCTCGGAATGGTTGCGGTAGGCCAGCACTAGGTATCTTCCCCGTTCACTTGTATTCTTTTCCTCGTAATAAGGTTTTCTAATACATTATGGCTGTACGTCAGCGAAGCATCAATGTTGAACGCTGGTGTCCTGCTTTCGATGGTGCTGATTACTACTTATGTTAGTCAACGCAAAACAGGTTGGTTTGTTTTAGATTGTTTCCTTCCTACCGAAAATTCATCTTGTATTTAACTAGCTTTCGGACATTATATATTACACTAGTCGGGGAAATAAGTTTCTTTGCGCTGCATAGGCAAAGGCACTTGCTTTTTTCAGCTCCAGATCCTGTACACATGACTGAGTTTCGCGCGAGCAAACCATTACTGGTCCACCTCATATAACCCGTCAAATTTACACTATGTGCAATTCTGACCATTGGTTTTCCCCATCGTCCACGTACAAGTGTGCGGACCTCCTGAGGACGTGCTATTTTCCTATTTGATAATCTCTTCGAGGGATTACGCCTCAGTCAAATCCGCTTAAGGACAATATTACCTCTACTCATGTGGTATTGTTCTAGATACGAAACCTATCTTCACTGTCAAATGGCTAACTGTATCTAGCCTCAGCAACGCCCGCTTGCTGCACAGTGATACTGCGAGCACCGGCGTTCATAGCCACTTCGTTTATCTTGCCATGCTTCCACGTGTTTTTGAAAATCTCTTGCACGCCAGCGACTTTCAAGGCTTTAACTTGATTGATGTGTAGCTGGCAGCAAAGAATTTGATTTTTGGTCCCCCACTTCAAATCGTTTCATTCTTCACTGGTGCAAGGCGATTTTTAGCTTTTAGCTACCAGTTTGTCGGCTCACTATCACTTCACACGGCATCTCCTGGTAACGCATCACATTAGCTATTTTGACTGAACTTAACATGACTTGATCGACAATTCGGTTCCAGAAACGATCACAATATATCTCGAGAGTAGGATAGAACGATGCATGATAACTCGATAATTTTTTTCTCACATACTCATCGTGTAAGAGTACGTCTTTGTAACGTTTAGTGGTTCTTGTTCCAGTCAGGCTAGGTGGGAAAACCAGAATACCCGATAGCTTAAATGACGGCCATAATCAGTATGTGAACCATAGAAACCTTCATGTGAACCGTTGACAAACACCTGGAGGCTATTTGGTTACTCCGGTGGGGAAGGCATACGACGAGGAAACCCGTCGTCGAAGTGTTTTTTTGTGAGGTCGATAGCTTGAAACATTGAAACTTCTAACTGACTTTGAATTCATGGTGTTTCTAGTAGCACTTTGCCCCACTCGGCACATTAAGTGCCAAAAACTGATCGGACGGAGTCCAGTTCTAAAGCGGAATACGTGTTCCATGATTCAGCCATTGGCATTTCTGGTTTCATTGCCCTTACTAGTAGGAACTCCGAGAAGTTGATGGAAGACAAGGTGTTTCTAATAGTACATCGCATGCTTCAAGGAATCAACCAAATCCTCACGAAATGTCTCATCTAATTTGAACTGACGTTCTAGCGCGTGAAATATTCATCTTTCATCAATCTGGTTTCTAGGCTTCCCGTCTCAATTCTACTCTGTGGCGATATCAACCAGTCCCCCGAAGGTCCGGCATACCAAGCTTTACTGGAACCGGATGAGGTTTCCTCCACACTCCCGGTGTCGCTGAGCCTGAAGTCCGCGTATGAGAGCGATGCTGATTCCTTTACGAACTGGGTACCAGGGTTTTGTGCTCTGTTGGATGTGATTATGTATAGTCCAGCCACTGGCATGAGCTGTCTACAAACACTACCTCTGTGTTCTCGCAATGAAATTACACGACTTCTGTCTAATGATGCGGAATGTAAACCAGTACCACGAGGAGAGCCAGTTGATGAACAGGATTTGTATGCTCTACCAAACGAACAGTTTCCCAGTGATCACCTCTCACTGGTGGCCGACTTTACTTGGCATGATGAAGAGTCTTCAGGACATTGAAGATATTGTTCCCGCTTATTCGTCTTCCGTATGCCCCCTCCCAACCCAGCAAGTGTGCTTGGCAGCACAGTATGCGAGGGCAAACCCATTCTGGATTTTTATTGCAATCATTATTAAGTTGTATAAAGTAATCTGTTGTGTAAAAATGTAGTGGGATAATCGGGGGCAATCAAACACGGTCGATCTGTTCGCCTTCACAGGCAGATTCCATTCTGTCCATGGAGAGTTGTGTGGGGACTACATGGAACTTGCCCACCTGTTGTTGCTGCGCTGAAAAACAAAGAACAAAAGTCGGCAATAGATTCTAACCCAAAATACGGCGATATAACTTAATTGCACGCGTACTACCTATCGTTACGAAATAAGTTTCAAGTATCGCGCAATCCAAACTTGGTCGCATCAAAGCCAGAGATATTTTTGCTAAGCGATTCTATACATCTGACTTCTTAGCAAACTACATTTGACTGACGCCCCGCGTACTGCAGCGAACGCTGAATATATGTGAGTGGAAATCTGGTATTCTGAATGGATATACCAATCACAACCGTGCAACAACGTACAAATGAGTACAATGTTAGGTTCACCAGATACACATTATCCAGAGACGTTCATGCCGCTTATTTAGAATGCACTCTGTTTTCCAAAGTCAGCTGGCAATTGACTCATCCAAAGTTACGCCTTAGCTTTAAGTCCGTCAAATTAGATGACTAACTTTGGTTTCATATCAGTGCATAAAGCACCCGGTGTATGGAAGTATCGTGCACTTGACTGTTTTTCCCAATTTCAAAGTTATGCAAACGGGACCTGTTATGGGATCTTTATTAGTTTTTTGATCCAGCCTTTTTGATCCTATCCGCGGTTTTGTCTAATTGTAAACAAAGTTCAACATGCCGTAATCCGTGACAGTCTATGGTAAAACCGATATAGGGGTTCTTGTGGAAAGCAAACGTATCAGCTCAAACCTACTTCAGATAACCTCCGAACTTACCTTGGTCTTGTGAGGAACATACAGAAAGCCCGGATGATGGGTTGTGCCTCATCTCAATGGATTCCGCATTCTCATCGTCTCTTTCACCTAACCGTTCCAACTGACGTAAACGCTTCAGTGTGGCTGGTTTGTTCACTAGAGTCTAGAAGATGAAAAATTCATTTGATACCAGTACAAGTTTGACAAAATCCTGTTTAGGAATGGTGGTATAGGGAACCATTATACTGATAATTCTCAACATAATTACAGAGAAAACAGTCTTGGCAAGCACACGGGTGAAGATTCAGAGCGTGGTTTGTGCAAATGCACACGTGGAACGAAAGAATCCATGTACGTCACATTTTTCTATTTTTATGAATCTAAAGTTGGCTCATACTGCATCGAATTGATCTTCAATGTCTCTGTGTTTGATGCTCCAGACTATCACTCCGCGGCTGCCTTACCAAAACCTTAAAACCCCAAACTCGCTGTACGTCACATTTTTCTATTTTTATGAATCTAAAGTTGGCTCATACTGCATCGAATTGATCTTCAATGTCTCTGTGTTTGATGCTCCAGACTATCACTCCGCGGCTGCCTTACCAAAACTTTAAAACCCCCAAACTCGCTGCACACAATGGACTGAAGCGTAAACAGATATCTTGTTGATTGTATAAGCCATCTTGTCAATTCGTCGACTCTATTTTAGAAGGCAATCCAATATTCAATATAAAATGAATTGGTTTCGTGTAAACTGGCTCAAAATGAATCGCTGACGCAAGTAATTAGCTTACGATAAATTCACCAAGAGCAAAGATCAAGTTTCAGTTTTAGATCTTTGCTCCTTCCAGTCGGACTTGTAGTGATTAACCGTACAGATTCATGCTTGCGGCCGATGAAAATTTGATCCTCACATGATCAATGAATTGTTTCACGCATTCATTTGAACATGAAGACAGACCTCCTCTGATTTTGTGTCAGCTCTACATTCCGTAATACATCTCAGGGCGAATGGTATGCAGTTAACCTTGCAAGATCCACTCTTGCTTTCACTCAAATTGGTCGGCTTGGTCACCTTCGTTCCCAACCCCAACCATCATGCCCACATAAATAGTTTTCTTAAGGCAGCTGAGGTTAAGCTGAATAATACATGGTTTGGGTGGGAGTACTTCGCCTTTGAGGCGAGTCGATATGGGCCGGTGTGAACGCCATTCAGGATTTTCCTATGGATAAAATACCGTTCGACACATCCTAACGTAGTCTAATTGTCGCTGTTTTGCGGAAAAAGGAACTATGGACACAGTTAATTGTTTACGCTGTCCTGATTGTTGAAGGAAGACCCTGTATTGATGGTTATCTTGTAAATTCTTTATGAACAGTTTTCAACAATGGGCGTAAATTCTGTCGGTCGTTGATGTTCTGTCTTAGTGCGCGTAAGCTAATCTTGAATGATAATTAAAGGTTTACTTTTCAATTTATTCATTACGACAATGACTCTCTGTTGTCGGAGTTGGTGCTTTGGAACCATAGTGTGTCGCAATTATCCTGCATTTCAGTAAGCGTTGATCAGAAACGTAGAAGTCATTAGGTCAAATGAAACTTGTCCCTAATCATAGTAATAGCACTCGTTTTTCACAAACCTCCGTTGCAGAAAACGCATTAAATCCTCTTATCTCTCCAAGAGATAGATTATTGAACAGAAAGTCGTTACATGCAATTGTATGATGGTTATTGTAGACGCCTGTAGGGAGGCCTCCAGCAAGCGAACCATTCCTGTCGCTGATCAGTCGTCCAAATGGGTAGCCATGAATACGTGCGACCTCTCCTTCGGCTAATATTTCTGACCGTTGAATGAATGATTGCTAGAGGAAAGGAGTGGAAAAATTACGGTGAATTGGGTGGGAAAAATTAGCAAAAGAACACCGGGAGGAGAATTTCATTTGAGTTGCACTTGAAGGCTAATTAACTTCACATTTACGTCAGCCGAGTGATTAGTTCAATATGGAACCAAACACATCCAACAAGTGAATGGCATGCCGTAACTGTTACCAACAGGCGTGTGTTCGCAGACCGGACTGAAAACAGGTTCGTTTGCTTGCCCGTTAAGCTCAGTTATTCGGCAGCGCACGTTTTTTGACAGATTGGGATAACGTCATTAGCGGGGCGTTACGTGCAGTGACGGATCGTCAGTCAAATGTGCAATGTTGACGTCTGCCAACAAGGATGAAGCAGCAGCTGGTGATCCGAAAATTCACTTACAAGATGAATTTTCGATAGAAGGATAAGTATCCTCCCGCTAACTGCAAGCAGGCTTGTTTGATTATAACGCTCGTTTATGGCCGAAAATGGGAATTCAGCTGATGAGTTAAAAAAACTGGCTGAAGTTTTCGATACCCTATATGATGGAAACTCGATCATAATTAGAGGGACCTATAGAAAGTGGCTTTGTTGTATTAGTTTGGCTGTTTCATCCTCTTTCTGTGAACCTACAGGATAATCACAGCAGAAATTCGTGGCTATCACGTGATGCCAGTGGTGCAATTGATTGATGGTGGCCAATAAATCGTCACGATTTATAATTCGTAAACTCACAAGAAACTGAGAGGCTTCCTGACCACTTTCGGCAGTGATTGTTCTGATATGCTGATCCCTGCCGACACCCTGAAAGCAAGAGAAGAAACAGCAGATATTTCATTCACTGATAATTGAAGACAACTTGGTCGCACCTTTTTCAGACCCAACGCTTTAGTTCCCGGTTGAATGGATGATACTGTTTGTATTGTTAACCATCTTTGTTGGTGATAAGCTGCGGTACCTCTTCACAAAAAAGGCCATTCTGTCAGAATAATATTGAACTGGTAGAACTCCCAGTTCCTTACTCTGGCTCCAGATGGGTTAAACCGACTAAAATCGATATATCTTGTTGACACAGAAAGAGTCGTATGGCAGGCTGGTAACATTTCCTACTTTACTCAGCTGCGAGACGTGAAACGAAAGGGCGTGAGCAACAAAGTAAGACGAACAGTTTAATAAGGCCACGTGACTTGAAACATGAAACTGGGTGTTTTGCTTCAAAAGTTCTCGGCAAGTAGGGCTGCTGACTGAATTGTGAGTGGTGACTGTTCGCAAATTACTAATTGTTTTGGTTCTCAGCAAACCAGTTAGATGAACCAGGCAAGAACAATTCGCTTGGTAGTTTGAACCAACCGTCATCGCTCGGAATTGTAGATTCGTTTTGAGGCCAAGTCAAGATGCCGTTCGTTAAATGGTCGCCTTTGGACAGTAAGGCCAGATAGACTGGTTTCTTTAACGTTTCATCGACTATGGGTCTTTGAGGCTTAAAGACTGCAACACTGTCAGTCATTCGCCATCCGGATCGTTTTTATCGAAATCCGCAATGCCATTAAACCTCAAAGACTCATACTCCATGATGCGGAAAAGAAATATGTCTGTCTATTCTTACGTCACAAATGCGGATATTTAGCCAACAAGCCCCGAAAGCGTTAAGCGTAAGTTCGTTTAGTTCCAGCTGCCGAAGGAGTAGTTCAGACTTACTTTTCCCTATGTAGTTACGAGTTCTGTTGCAATTACGGAAAAATTCAAGTCGCCAGCACAGATCGAAGTCTATGGTTACGTCTTTGGAGCAGTAGCATAGTGGACTCCAAAATCTTGAAGGTCACATTGTGACCCGGCACCTTTAGCCGCAAATCCCTTGATGCAAACAAGTCATCAAACCTGGGGTTCATTTGAACGACTCCCCACCCCCGTTAAAACCAAATTAGCTAGCGAAGGAGCAGACTTCTTTTCAAAGTCAGGGACTTGTCTTTCATTGGTAGATCGAAACAAATGCCTAGCAATAGATCCAGTTCACCCTACCAGCAACCTCCTTATCGACATATCCAAAAAACGGAGTGTGTCACTATAACCAAAACTTTTAAACCACTTGTCACGGTTTTGTCTCTCCAGGGGACAGTCTGGTCTATTATTTCGAAAATGGTTCTGTGGATAAGATTTCAGTTTTCACTTCATGAACATTGATCATTTGTCAGTATGGTTTCCTAAACGCGCTGTATCTATGGCTAGATACTTTGGTGATGGGCTCCTCAAAGTGAGAACAACACCAACAAGCGATTTGCACACTTTCGCCATGCGCATGTACAATTTTACTCAGAACAACAGCATGGGAAGCTAGATATTACCTAGGGCAAAATTCATGAACACTAAGTATATTTTGTTAGTGTTCTGTCCCAGTAAATGAGTCAGCCAAGCTCCTTCAAAGTAAAAATCAGTGCGTAACCTCTCGGTTAACCCACAAAGGTCCCTCAGGCTCTGTTCAGCGCTACTAACTACTAACGGGGGTACTGTCTAAGTAATATGTAAACAGGGGATAGGTTATTCCTAATTATAAGTTTGTTCAGTTGCACATTCAGCGCGCAGTCCACGAACTATATGGTTAGATTCCTGAGCATGGATGTTACTCAGGGGAAACGATGGCAGTTCTAGCGTAATTACTGCTGACACCGGTCGGACAGCACTCCAACACAGAATCAGTTTAGTGTTTTGCGCTGTCTCGCGAGCAGCATGCGAACGGTCACTGTAGACGACTAATGCTCGCGTACATTCCAACACATCTTGCATGTCACGTACTAACTATAGTACCGGAAATACTTTCTAATCGTAATACGCCCGTCAATTGGAGATTCATTTGGTCCCGTCTCGTGACCGAGAACATTACAAGTCGCTTAGCTTTGTCGTTCATGTGTACTACCCAGGTCTCTAATTAAAAGCCATGAAAAACTATTATTGATCTCGAAGAACTTCAAGTATAAGGCGCAAAGCGACAATCCAATTCAGTCATGTGCTAGTTTGCTCGTTTTTGTGCAAGAGAAGATGACTTTCTATGGTACGATCGTCGTGTGGCTACTTAAAACATGGGAGTAGTGTAAACAGCAGCAAACATAAGCATTGGAGTGTCGAACAGCATGCAGAGCAAGCTGTAGATTAGGCTCATATTCAACTGACTGAAAATACCTAATGTCATAGTTGCATTACCAGACCTTATGTAATGACAACCTGGTTCAGATGAATAGGAGGTCGTAAGCACAAACCGAAGGGCGATCGCAGCTGAGGATTCTGGCAAGATCCTTCTTCCGGTTGAAGATTTGATGGCGGTTGTGTGCTTATCCTTGTACAAAAACTTCAGTTGAACCTCTGTGGGTAAATCACACTGGCTTAGGATCAGACCCTATCTACCGCCTCATCTTCTAACATCAAATCAGTAGTTAGGCGCTTTTAGCCAGTTATAAACCACGATAATGTAAGCTCGCTTTCTGTGTGACCGTGAGTTTCGTTGACGTTCTGTTTGCAAAGGTGCAAAACTAAGGCAGCACTAGGAGGAGTCATCATATTTTTGCTCACTCACTTGCATCACCGCACAATAATCCGAAGCGATTTGCTTTGATTCTTCGGCGCTTAACTGATCCGGATTGATTTGATTCACTCGCAAGTATTCCTTGTAGGCACGAATAGCCAGGTCACCAGCATCCAGTTTGTGTAGGCAATCGTAGTTCCCAATGACCTCCTGAAGTGGTGTGCGAAATGGGCAAATTATCAGGCAAAAGTGGCCCAAAACAAGCGTAGGATCCGTCTTTCTGTTTACGCATATATGGATTGGTGCAATTTGGCAAATTAACTAGGGCAGCTATTCATCAGGAACAATAAGGTTTATTTACCCGTGTAATGCTAATTTCTTTAGGAAATGGCACATTTTATTGGTCAACTCAAGGAAAGACAATGCGCCTTCTTAGCATTCTATGAAGATATGTGACTTCTACATCTGTCCAGGTTCGCGTTAATCCGGAACTAACAAGGAAACGATTTTACTAAACGACCTTGTTTGGTTACTTGCTTGTTATAGTGTATAGTCGAAAAAATCCGAACACAGCATGCTTGAAGAACCAGTGTGAATGGTCTGGAGACGGCATTTGATCACTATAAGGCCAATTAGCACTGACCGATATGATGACGCCACAAGGACATGTTTTTGGTTATGAATATACTGAGCTGAGCAGTCGGGCTGAGTGGAGATTTCTGCGTTCTAAACTGAGTTTTAAATAAGATGTGAATCGCACGTGAACCACTGTCAAATTACACGGTTCCTTATAAGAACATCCCACAATGGTGTTACTTATGGGAAAGTGATCCGATTTTTTCTGTTGGACTCTAGTGTGCTTATCGGAGTACTTTACTCTCACTGGTTTGGAGAGCTTGGCCATTTGTGTTTACTGTCAGTAAATGAGCTAAGACGACTGAGAAATGACCGTTTCGGATTTGAAATTATTAGGGTTTCTCAAGTCAGATTGGAAATCCTTTGATCTGAGATTGGGAGATGATTGAGGACTACAAGCTCTGAGAAAATAATGGATTTTTGAGATCACTTCAAGATTACTCAGCTTAGGTCAGCAATGATGCACACAATGATTTCGGAATCTGAACAAACAGGTACCACATTTCCCATGGAACGAAAGGTCAAAAAACAAGCCACGTGCTTGGTTTTTTCTCGAAATTTCATTAATAAGCCATGCTTTTTGGTGGTTTTCGATTGTGAGACTTCGGAGTTTAGACGTCACATTAGCCTGGGTAGGTCGCCACGCACGTTTGGTCGTAGTACAACAAAATATTCGCAGATCGCTCATATATTTTGGTTGTGTCTTGAATCGATGGTTAACAGAAGCGCAGTTTGACGTTCGTACGCTTAACAGGCCTCGAGTCATTTGCACCCAGACTTTTCGCTGTCCACCATTCTGCGGGGACG